AAACTTATCTACAATCTATGATATTTCCATATAAATAATTATATTTTAGCTCATTTGTGGCACAGTGCAGCGGCGTGCCTGATGAACTGACCTCGCGGGCCGTAGTTTGGTGACCCCTGCTCTAGTCTATCACGTCTATACTATGAATGGCTAGCACAGATAGCTTTGCGCGAAATTCCACAAACAAACAAAGAAACTTTTATCTCCTTCAAACTACTGTTCAAGAAGTTTTTCGTTCAATACCAGAACTCACCAAAACACGATTTATATATGCAGAAAGGTAATATTTAAATACTACTTTTACATGCATTTGATTTTGAGTCGCAGTGGACAAATTAAGAGGAATGTAAACAAAAAACAACAACAACAAAAAAAAAACATGTGTAGTTAATTTGATTGGATTCCAACAGTTCTCTTATTTTCGGCGTTTAACCCATAACTTTTAAAGTTTCACACTGGATATATAAACAGTGATTCATAGTATTTTGCCCTTCCATCATTTTACACTTAGTCATAAATGCATACACCGGTGCTTCTTTAAAATGATATTATCTTTGCGGGATTGCTGTAAATCCACACTGAATGCTCGTTCCACCTGTTAAGCGTCTCCTTAACATCTATCATATTTATTCTTCTTAAATAATTACTGTTTCAACTCACAGTGTTTACTTTTTTTACATGAGTTATCTGTAGATGATATCATTACTGTTCATTTCTACTCCTACTTGTTCTCCTCCATTGGATGAAAATCTGATAGATCTCAATTTCAGATCCAAGCCGAGAAAATAATAATAAAATTAAAAGTTTTGAACATGGGAGTTCACAATCTAACTCAGTTGCTTTAGTACTTCTCTGCTAGAAAAACAGTAAGCTTTCTAGTTCTTCATTAAAAATCAAAATCTAAGAGAAATTCGAAAAAAGTTCCAAATAATTATTTTATATAAAATTCACTGTAGGTGAATGCGAAACACGCTGGCTTATGGGACTTGGATATTTTCTAAACATATGTTACAAATAAAATAACTTATTATAATTATTAATTATATGCAAAAAAACAAAACATTTTACAACACCATGTCAAACGTATTAATGTATTTTGTTTTTGATACTTTTCTAGCGAAGAATCTTTCATGGCAAATATAATAGTATATTGCAACTAGCAAGGGAAATTTAAAAAAAACGTTAGAACATTTAATCTCCTCCTACTTCAAAATAAGCCGAGAATATTGAAACCCAAAAGCAAGCGTTATAAGCCTTGAAACTCATCACTTATCGAAGCAAAACCATATAAAAAATGTATGTAAGTTATAGAAGCCAATAAACAATATCTTGAAAGAAATTCAAATATTCTCAAGGGATTAGCGAGCACTTCTACATATTTGTTCCAGGTACAGACAATTGGCTTCCACATCAACTTTTAACATAGTTATGTTTTTATTTTAAAAACCTGAAACCGTATCTAAAATGTGAAGCTGTGTGTCATGCTTAGGTAAATCAAATTACTACTTTTATATTAAACATTAAAGTATAAGGAGTTATACGTTCTCGTTACACAAATTTCCTATTTTAACTCAGAGCAGTAAAACATAAATAACAGTAGCTTTTCCTCTTGTAAGTTTGTTTGAAGCTGAGCACAAAGCTACACAATGGACTATCTGTGCTCTGCTCACCACGGGTATCAAAATCTTGTAAGACTATTTATCATATAAATATTTTGTACAAAGTACTTGATTAAACAACAGATTTTTTAAAATCAAGAAATTAACATACTAAAAACTACAATAAAGCGGAAACAGTTGTACCTTTTATGTTTTACTAAATTAATTAGCATAATATCTATCTCATTAAAATATATTAAAATCTAGAGGATTTTTTATGTGTTTTTTTACTTAAAGGCCAGTGGCATGCAGAAAATA